CTTCAAAACTGGCACAACGTTGTGTTACATACATTTACCACAATGAAAAAAGAGAGCGAGCTGCTCATTTGAATGCTTTTCTGGGTGGGTCCTGTGGGGAAAGCTGAAATTCACAGCTTCTCTGAAACTGAACTTTTGTGTATCTTTTAAAAATAAACCTTCCTCTTCCCACCCCACCCCCCTTAGTTCACAACCAACAACGACTGTGACACTTTTGTGTATCTTTTAAAAATAAACCTTCCTCTTCCCACCCCACCCCCCTTAGTTCACAACCAACAACGACTGTGACCCCCATCTAGAAGGCTCTAGGCACAGAATGGAGGAGATAAAAAGGAGCTAGCAGTGGGGAAGACAGACCTGTCGATGTGATACTTGCTATTGTTCTGAGAGGGTTGTGTCCGCTGCAAATGACAGGCACCTTCCCACGCTGCCTCAGCCATAAACAGGAAGGTATCGGGAGGATCCGGTGGGCGCTGAAGGGAGCATCAGTCTCCCGTTGCTGCTGTAGTGAAGACCACAAACTCGGTGACTTAAAACAACTCCACTTTAATCTCTTACAGTTCTGGACATCCCAAGTCTACAATGGATCAGCGGGGCTGATTCCTTCAGGAGGCTCTAGGGGAGAATCTGTTTCCTTCCCTTTTTCAGCTCCTGGAGGCTGCCTGCATCCCGTGGGTCCTGGCCCCTTCCTCTGTCACCCCATCTTCTTGCTTCCATGGTCACATCACCTACTACTGGCTCTGACCCTCCTGCCTCCTCTTTGCGGGGCCCTTGTGATTGCCTTGGGCCCACCTGGGTCATCCAGGATAACCTCCCCATCTCAGAGTCCTTAACTACATCTGCAAAGTCTCTGCCCAAATAAAGTAACATAAACATGGGTTCTGGGGATTAGGGACCTTTCTGTGAAAGCATGCAGGTAAGGAAAGGAATATTAATGCTCGCCTCTTGTGGGGACCTTCACCTCCAGGAACAGAGAGAAGTGGACCCCTTTCAGATGCAAAAGATGGCTGCCTTCCGCCCACCCCTACCCAAATATCCACATGCAGAGCATACATCTGGGCTAGGAAGATCCCGCCTCAATGACCTCGGGGCTGGGATGGGAGCTACGACGCCTGTCTGCTGTTGGGATGAACAGAGCAGCCTCTGTGGCTTCGTGATGACCCAGGTCCACCTGAGTGCTTGGCCTCCCACGTCCTTCTCAGAGCTCTTTAAACGGTGCTTGTCTTTGTGATTTACAAACACACCTAAACATCCTCAGTCGATACAATGAAGACTATTTAAATCTCTAAATCCCACCAACTCAGAGGCAGCCACTGTTAACATATTGATGTACATCTTGCTTGATACAAATTTAAATATACAACTTGACAAAATCATACTTGCTGCTTCATGATCTGCTTCATTCACTCAATAATACGTCATGATCACATGTCTATGGCGACAGATGGAGAATTGTCTAGTGGCTTCATAGTATTGTATAGAATAACATACTTAATTAGTACACAATTGACTATCAAGTTGCTTTTAATTTTTAACTATTCTAAATAATACTACCATGAATCCTTTGTCATTTGTCTATGTATCTCCTTAAGGTAAATTTCTAAATATGGAACTGCTGAGTCAAAGGTATATTCATTTACATTTGGTTATTATTATTAAATTATGCCACCCCCAACCCCCCAAAAGAAAGACATATTGAAGTCCCAACCCCTAGTATTATCTGTATTTTCTTCTGGTACTTTTATAATTTCACATTTTATTTTATTTTATTTTATTTTATTTTATTTTATTTGTTCTATAATCCTCACACAAGGACGTGTGTAGAGAGAGGAAGTGGGGTGGGGGGGACATTGATGTGAGAGAAAAACATCAGTTGGTTGCCTTCTGTACATGCCCCAACCAGGGAATGAACCTGCAACCCAGGTATGTGCCCTGACCAGGAATTGAACCAGCAACTTTTTGGTGCACAAGACAGTGCTCAACCAACAGAGCCACTGTCTGGGCATATAATTTCACATTTTAAAGTCAAATTTTTGTGATACCTGAAATGTGTTTTTCTGTGAGAAATGAGATTGAAATCTAGTTAGACAGTTCTTCAAAGTGACTAGACAGTACCAAGAAATGACTAATCCATGTTTTCCATGCTAATTTGAAATGCCACCATTATCATATCCTAAATTCCCAAGTGTACTGGAGGCTATTTCTGGACTCTGTTGTGGTCACTGTTGCAGTGACCCTGCCTAGTAATCTCCTCTTCTTTTTTTTTTATGCTCACTCGAGGACATTTTTCCATTTTTGTTCAGATAGTGGGAAGGAGAGAGAAGAAGAGAGAGAGAGAGAAACATCGACGTGAAAGGGACACATTGAGTGGCTGCCTCCCACACAACCCCTACCGGGGCCGGGGACAAAATGCAACCGAGGTACATGCCCTTAGCGGGAACCGAACCCAGGTCTCCCTGGACCGCAGGCAGATGCTCTAACCATTGAGCCAAACCAGCCAGGGCATAATCTCCTCTTCTTTATCCCAACTGGGGAAGCACCAAAAATGACCACCAGGGGGCGCGATTTCATCTCCTTGACCACCCTCCTCCTGGCCCTCTAGCTGCCGAAATCTGCAGGCTGCATTTCAGTTGTGCGGAAAGGCCAAACAGGCCTCCAACATCCTGCCTTTCTCTTGTGGTGGGAAGACAGTGGTGGAGCCAGGGGAAGCGTGTGGGCAACAGGAAGTGGGCAGGTCCACATGGCCTGGGGTGGTACATGGAGGACACAGCCATCAGCTGCTTTCTCAGAGCACTCTGGCCTGGTGAGCTCCCTTAAAGGCCCAGTTCAAATGCTACTGCGGGGACCCTCTTAGTCCTCCTACTTCTGTGCTCCCACAGCACTAGCATGCATTGCTTTCGAGAGCAATTATTTATGCACTGTCTGCCCTGGGGAGCGTGCACTCCACCAGGGATCATGACTTGCTCAGCTCTGAGTAGAGAGTGAGGGTCACTGAACCTCGCCTACATACTATTATGTCTTCACCTGCCTCCTACTCCTTGAGAGACTTCCCTGAGAGCAGGTGCTAGCTCTGGTTCTTTCCGGCCCTCACACTGCCCAGCACGGGGTCTGGCAAATAGACCCTCAAGTTTACAAGAGCAAAGCTGCCTCCTTTGGTGTCTGTAACTCACTTCTCTCTGTGGATGTCTTTTCTCAGTCAACTCGTGTCAGGCATTTTCTGATGTGCTGGACTGTGGTGGGTGCCATGGTCGGGAGGGTCTTTGGGGAGGCGCCCTGTCGCAGCCGGGAGAGCAGAGCATCACAAACGAGAGATTTCATGGCACGCTGCTGGGGCGACTTAATGTTTATCAGTCAAACTCTTTCATTTTACAGACAAGGAAACTGAGGCTCAGGCAGGGGAAGGATTCATGTAGGAAGTTTTCAAACTGAGCCCGACACCCCAGGCTTGGACTTGCTGTACCAAGTGCACTGTGGAAAGCAGCAAGTCTATCAAATGTGCTGTGTCACAGCCGAATAGGGCCGTCCGGAAGGGTTAATGATATCCCTTATTGGATGAGTCAAAGGGACACCAACGGAGGAGTCTCTGCTTTAGCAGCAGAGGGTGAGCTCTACCCACAGAAGCATTTATTCACTTCTCAAAAGAACATTCAAAATTTGCTTTTAGGGAGGTTTTTGAGGAGCTACACTTTAGATTGAGCTTGATAAGGAAGAGCACAGACTTTGCAAATGGACAAAACTGGGTTCAAAGTCCTTCCCCGGCTGTGCAGAGTTGATTCATGATATAACCTCTCAGAGTCTCAATGTTCTCACCTGTAAAACAGAGATGATAATCTTCCAGGTAAGCGAAGGAATGGAAAACCCTGGTTTCAGGCCCTGGTTGTCAGCTGGTGCTCAGTTATGGGGTTCACCAAGTCTGGGGTGCACTGGACATAGTGTTCACCTCCTCACAGTGCCAAGTCCAGTGACATCCTGCTGGTAACTTTGAATCAGCCATAGTGTGGGTAGTTATATCAGGGAACTTAGCAAACACTACAAATCTGGAATCTTTTTTTTTTAATCTTCACCCAAGGACATGTTCATTGATTTTTAGAGAGAGAGGAAGGGAAGGAGAGAGACACTCCGACCTAATGAGCCACACCCGCCAGGGAAGGAATCTTTTTGTTTCCCAAGAGCCAGCTGGTAAACATTTACCAGACGTCCAGGGCATCGTCTTTATTACTGACAATAATAACTTGTGAGCTCTGGGAAGACCAAAGCACACTAGTAGGCTATTTTTACTGACACAACTGCTCGTTTCCATGAGTGGTCAGCTCAACAAAATGGTCAGTTGGTTTCATGTTGGTTGACTGGCCCCCATTTTGAGGCTGTGAGCCTTGCTGGGAACTCTTCTGTACAGTCAGAATTGTTCGATGCAGCTGTTACCTGAAACAGGGGTCTTTCCCTGCCCTCTCCCAGCAGGAGCTGGGTCAGCAGTGCCAGGGTTCCCTGGGGTCGGCGGGAGCTGCTCTCCCTGCGGGATGGAGAGCTGGTCACATGTGAGCTGGTCTTACCCAGGGCTGTCTCTGGGTGGGAGTCAGGGTCCTCTCACTCCTTTGGAGCTCTGGGAATGATTGGGTTTGTCTATGGGGACACCCCCACCCCTACACCCACCCCCCCACACACACAGAGAGACACAAACACACACATACACACACACACACACACACACACACACACAGACATACACACACACACACACACACACACACACACAGTGCCATATCTCCACCCAGGGCCTGACCCCTTCCCACGGGATGGGCCCCTGGTAGGCCCTGTGGGAGCCGGGGCAGCAAGAAGATTCCGGCTCCTGGAAAGTCTCGGGAATCAGATTTTCTGGAAGGGGGACCGGGGGCCTGCTGACGGAGCCTGGGCCTCTCCCCGCGGGCTGAGCAGAAAGGGGAAGTGTGGTCAGACTGGTACTCGCTGCTCCGGGTGGGAGGAAGATCTGTGGGCGAGGAACACCTCTCGTCAGCTGTGCCAGAGCCACAACACTCAGGGCACTGCTGTCCCCTCCGCCACTCACATCTGGACATGCTTGCGGGCCAGGTAAGCATCTGGGCCTGTGTCTGCGAGGGACTGTCTGGGCTTGGGCGGGGGATTGTCGCCGGAGCCTTGGGGTTGGAGACACACTGGTCTTGGAGAATCCACTGTGGTAACTGCCTAGGTGACCTCAGAATCGCTGGCCTCCGTTTCCTCATGTGTGTTGGGGTGATGAAGAAGAAGCCTATGTCTCAGGCTGAAATGACAGTGACTGGGGGTGAGACATGTGTGCTGCAAAGCGGTTGTTATCATTCTGGACTCTGATGGCGAGTTTTGATCACTGAGGACCCTGATGGGTCCGTGCTGGAGCTGGGGCTGGGGTGGAGGTGTTGACTGTGTGACTTTGGGCCACATCTTCGAGCTGTTGGAAGGAAACGCTAGAACACCACCAGCCTAGGTGTGGTTGTCAGGGGTCTCTGGCATTCGGGGACTGATTTATAAGGCTCCCTGCCTTCCAGAGGCCTCGGGATCCAGGTGTGTTGAGTTGGGGTCAGATCTCCATTTTGCCATCTGCTCTTCCCTCTGGAACACAACTGTGGAGTAGACCTGGGCTCGGCTCCGTCATTTCCACTTCTTCCTTCTCCTGCATCACTTGTCCCGAAAGCCGCTCCCTTTCCCGGCCCTCGGCCCGTGCCCACCTCTGATGGAACATGGAGAGTGGCCATTGCTGAGCCTGGAGAAGACAGGGCCTGGGAGCTTCTTTTTACTTTTTACTCTTTTAGGATCTTTTCCCCTCCCCTCTGAAAATTGGGAAACTGCAAAGACACAGGGAAACAATGACCCCGAATTCCACCGCTTCACAACAGCTGTGGGGAAGGGCTTGGGTTTTGCCTTGTGATCTTTGTTTCCTAGGTATAGGTTTTGAAAAGTTAGCATTGTTTTATTCTGATGGACATACATTCTAGAAACAGAAACTCAGACTTCGCCACTGTGATCAGGGCCCAGGCATCTCTGTCCCCTCCCCCCACGGTGAGGCCAGTGTTATCACCGAGGAGCCACTGGGTGACAGGTTTCTAGTTTTCCTCCGTATTCTTAGACCCGAACAAATAAGAAAGTAAGCAATGGCAAGAGACCATGTGGTTGGACCCAAGGAAGGACTTCTGGGTTGTAGAAATCCTGGGATAAACATACCAGGAAACGGGAACAGTCGGCCACTCTGGCGGGCTCTGCTGAGGGCGGACACATCCCACCAAAGTCTGAGATGCTGAAGAGGCCACCCCTGAGAAAGCAGGGCGCAGGAGTCTTTTCAGATGTGATACCTACATTTTTGAAAATGTGTTTATTTTACACTTCCCAACGAGGCCAGGTGATAAAGAAAGAAAGAAGGAGCCCATCCTCACGCACTGAACAACCAAAACCATTTTTCCGTGTTTCCTCCCAGTCATCCCCAGCCACGCATTCAGGTAACGGTGTGTGAGACCCGCGTTGTATTCTGTGCTTCCCACTAGTCCTCTCCTGATGTTTCTTCCTGTTGCTCTGTCGCTGCCCTCCTGTCCCATCAGGTGGCCCTTCCGCAAGTTTCTCCTCCAACCCTCCGGTGTTTGGTGCTGGGTCGCTCCCCGTTCGTCTCTACTGAGATGCACGTATTTCTGCACTTAGATTTTACCTCCTTTGGATTACTTCTTTTTTTTTTTTTTTTATTCTCACCCGAGGACACTTCTGGATTCATCTTAAGATAGAGTGGGAGGGAGTGAGGAAGGAAGAGAGAGAGTGAAACATTGATGTGAGAGAAACACACCCACTGGTTGCCACCCACACGACCCCAACCGGGGCAGGGGACAAACTGCAACCGAGGTACGTGCCCTTAGTGGGAACTAAACCCGGGACTCTCTGGTCCGCAGGCCAATGCTCTAACCGCTGAGCCAAACCAGACAGGGCTGGATTACTTCCTTTTTTTTTTTTTTATCCTCACCCGAGGACATTTTTCCATTTTTTGTTCAGACAGAGCGGGAGGGAGAGAGAGGAAGAGAGAGAGGGAGAAACATCGATGTGAAGGGACACATCGAGTGGCTGCCACCCGCACGACCAACCAGGGCCGGGGACAAACTGCAACCGAAGTACGTGCCCTTAGCGGGAACCGAACCCGGGTCTCTCCGGACCGTAGGCCGACGCTCTAACCGCTGAGCCAAACCGGCCAGGGCTGGATTACTTCTTAAAATAGATTTCTAGAAATGATATCACGGAATTACAGGATAAAACCATTTTTTAAAATGTGTTACCATTTGCTTTTAAAAAAATAAATTTAAGTCCATTTATATGGCCATTGGCCATGCCGGAGGATCCGTTTCACCATAACTTTGCCAGGATAGGATTTCATCAATCTTTTCCATTTTTTCTCACACATAGATGTGTTTTCTAACTGTGGGCAGACAAATATGCCAGGGGAACAATAAAGTCTGATGGTTGAGCATGTACGAACAGAGTCAGGTCCTATAGGGAAATAAATCCAACAGGATTAATCCGGGAGTGATGGGGTGATCAGCGATCACAATGATGGAGGCGTGTGCCGTCAGCATGGGTCTGCCTGGCCAGAAATGGCACGTTCCGCTCACCCTCTCCTTAGTTATCCAGGACCTATAATGAGCCTTCACAGAAATAGAAGAGAGAGACAGAGCAGAGAGGCTGGACCCCTTTCAGTGACACCTCCCTGCCCTTTCCCAGGCACACTTGGCTTTTAAGTGGTCAGCAGCTGTCCATAGGGCCATGTCTGGGGCTGACATCAGCCAGGAGCTCAGGTGGGAATTTGCCCTCACTGAGCATGAGCAGTGATAGTCGTCTGGGAACTGGAGGTGAATTCGGGCAAGAAATGCTCATGCTGACTCGCAGGTGTTAGCTGAAATATTATCTCCAGTCTCCCAGACCCTTGAGATCTAGTTTGAGAGCAGCTCAAACCCTCATTCCCTGCCCTGTTGAAGTCCAGAGCCCTCCCCGAGACTTCTGTAGGGCCCCCACCAGGCCACCCCTTTTCCATGGTTCTGAGCCCTGTGGGTGAGCCTCTGCCCATACTGCACTGACTAAGGGGTGACCCTCAGCCCTTTTCTTGGTTCTCTGCACCCAAAAGAAAACCACTCACCAAAGCACTGGCAGATGCAACAGATTTTACTAAAGATTGGGGAGGAGCCACCAGAGGGGTTTCCAAAGTAGCAATATGAAAAACAGCCCTGCCCTGGCCGGTTTGGCTCAGCGGTTAGAGCGTCGGCCTGCGGTCCAGAAACACCCGGGTTCGGTTCCCGCTAAGGGCATGTACCTCGGTTGCAGTTTGTCCCCGGCCCTGGTTGGTCATGCGGGTGGCAGCCACTCCATGTGTCCCTTTCACATCGATGTTTCTCTCTCTCTCTCTCTGTTCTTCTCTCTCCCTCCCACTCTACCTGAACAAAAAATGGAAAAATGTCCTCGGGTGAGGATTAAAAAAAAAAGAAAAACAGCCCAGTTCTTAAAATGTCATGGTACCCTCAGTTGATTGAGCGTCATTCCGTGAACCAAATGGTGGCTGGTTTGAATCCTGGTCAGGGCACATGCCTAGGTTGTAGGTTCAGTGCCCAGTCCGGGTGCATGGGGGAGGCAGCCGATCAATGTTTCTCTTTCATACTAATGTTTCCCTTTCTCTCTTTCTTCTCTCCCTTCTTCCCTCTCTCAAATCAATAAAAAAATATATATTTTTTAGCCCTGGCTAGTTTAGCTCAGCGGTTAGAGCATCGGCCTGCGGTCCCGAGAGACCCGGTTTCGGTTACCTCTAAGGGCATGTACCTCGGTTGCAGTTTGTCCCCGGCCCTGGTTGGTCGTGTGGGTGGCAACCACTCAATGTGTCCCTTTCACGTTGTTGTTTCTCTCTCTCTCTCTCCCTCCCACTCTATCTAAACAAAAAATGGAAAAATGTCCTCGGGTGAGGATAAAAAATATATGTATGTGTGTGTGTGTGTATGTGTGTGCGTGTGTGTGTGTGTGTGTGTATGTGTGTGTGTATATATATATATTTAATTCCTGGCTGCTCCATTCCTGAGCATCTGCCACCAGTTGCTTCTCCTACCTTCATACCATGCGGCTGGCTCCTCTCCCCACTCCTCCCCTTCCTTCTCATCTTCTCTCCAAAACTCCAAACTGCCCCCACTCAATACCCAGAGGAATTCCATCTTCTCCAGTTCCTACCAACAAGTTTCATTTCCTGTCCAGCCAGCTAAGTACTTTAAAGGCAGCTCATTCTGTTTTTTATTTCTTTTTTTTTTTTTAATCCTCACCTGAGGATATTTTTTCATCTATTTTCAGTCAGAGTGGGAGGGGAGAAAGAAAAACATCCATGTGAGAGAGACACATCGACTGGTTGCCTCCCGCAGGACCCCGACCAGGGCCGGGGACCGAACCGCAACCAAGGTACATGCCCTTGACCAAAATCAAACCCATGACTCTTTGGTGCTTGGGCTGACTGACGCTCTAACCGCTGAGCCAAACCAACCAGGGCTTTACTGTTATTTTTTAAATGAGGTATAAATAAAATGCACAGGTCTTAATATGCAGTTCAATACATTTGGCAGTTGTACATACCCTGTAACCATTGCCCAAAACAAGGTGCAGACTATTCCCACCACCCGGGGAAGTCCCCTTGTGGCCCTTTCCAATCAGCCCCTTCCTCCCCCGTTGCAGCCACTGTTCTGATTTCTACCGCAGTCAGGTAGTTCCGTCTCCTCTTGAACTTCCCCTAGAGAGGAGCGTACAGGTGTGCTCTCACATCGGGCTTCTTTCCCTGAATGTTTCCAGGGTTCGTCTGCACTTTTCTGTGTGTCAGGAATTCATTTCTTTTCATTTCTAGGTAGCATTTCATTGTAGAATCTACCAGCCTATTTATCCTTTCTTCTGTTGAATTCCATTCTGTTTTTATAGTTTTGCATTCTTTGAGTAAGGACATGATTGATATTAAGAATAAGAGTGTGGCCTGGCCGGTGTGGCTCAGTGGCTCATTGGCTCAGTGGCTGAGTGTCGACCCATGCACCAAGAGGTTGCCAGTTCGATTC